AGTAGTCAGTGAAATGAACTTGTCTGCGAATTAATCGTCGGTAAACTAAGTTAACGATGAAGTGATTGTCGATGAAAATGATAGATACCCTCCGAGCACAATGTATGTCAGTATGCTCTCCATCACAATGAATTAATTCCTACGATCTCATCAATTGCACCCATTAGTGATTCTAATTGTAAAACACCATATTCAGCATAATCGCCTATCATTCAACCAATATTGAGCCTTATTATTCTTTTTACTTAGAACCCACGATTTATATACAATGTCACCATGAATAGTTGCTAAATCTTTTAATGCGGGTTTAAATCGTTGTTCTTCACTGAATTGACCTTATTTACTGCATCATTACTCCATGTATAGGATGCTAAAAGAATTCCAGGATTATTGGCATATATTTTGATAATATGTAGGATAAATTAAAGCGCAAATAGGAAGATCAATGTAAGTGATACACTAACAATTCCAACATTAGAAGTTGTAGGATTAGCACCAGTTTCAGTCGGAGGCTTTTCTAAAAACATATCGCTAATTTATTTTTCTTATTTTCTGTTATTCTTACGTTTTATTCCCTTTTTCGCACTTACACTCTACCTACTTACAAATTCTATGCAAATAAATTACTAGACTGTATTTATAATATACTGTGTTTTATGGTTAAATTTTATTCATTACGAATATTTGTTACACTAATTACAGTATTTTACTAAATATTTAAATTTTTACATTTTTATTATAATTTATTGTTGTATTTTAAGACTAGAATTATTTGCCTTTACTTCAAAACTAATATCATTAGATTTAATATTCGAAGAAGTTAGTGAGGTGTTCTTACAAAGTGCATCTGCTAACGCTTTTCCACCTTCTGACCCAAGTTCATTATCGCTGAGATTCAAAGAAGTCAGCGAAGTATTCCTGCAAATTGCATCTGCTAATGCTTTTACTCCTTCTGATCCAAGTTCATTACTTCGAAGATTCAAATCTTTCAGGGTATTGTTCTTGCAAAGTGCATCTGCTAATGCATTTCCTCCTTCATTATAGCCGAGATTCAAAGAAGTTAGTGAGGTGTTCTTGCAAAGTACATCTGCTAATACCTTCCCTCCTTCTGATCCAAGATTATTATTTCGAAGATTCAAAAAAGTCAGCGAGGCATTCTTGCAAAGTGCATCTGCTAATGCTTTTCCTCCTTTTGACTCAAGTTTATTATAGTCGAGATTCAAAGAAGTTAGTGAAGTGTTTTTGCAAAGTGCATCTGCTAATGCTTTTCCTTCTTCTGATCCAAGAATATTATTTTCAAGATTCAAATCTTTTAGGGTATTGTTCTTGCAAAGTGCATCTGCTAATGCTTTTTGACCCAAGTTCATTATAGCCAAGATTCAAAGAAGTTAGTGAGATGTTATTGCATAGCTAATGCTTTTCCACCTTCTAATCCAAGTTTATTATAACCGAGACTCAAAGAAGTTAGTGAGGTGTTCTTGCAAAGTGCATCTGCTAATGCTTTTCCACCTTCTGACCCAAGTTTATTTTCGCTGAGACTCAAAGAAGTTAGTGAGGTGTTCTTGCAAAATGCATCTGCTAATGCTTTTCCACCTTCTGACCCAAGTTTGTTATCTCTGAGATTCAAAAAAGTTAGCGAGGTGTTCTTGCAAAGTGCATCTGCTAATGACTTTCCTCCTTCTGAATCAATTCTATTATATCGAAGATTCAAATTTCTCAGGGTATTGTTCTTGCAAAGTACATCGGCTAATGCTTTTCCTCCTTTTGATCCAAGATTATTATTTTGAATATTCAAATCTTTCAGGGTATTGTTCTCGCAAAGTGCATTTGCTAATGCCTTTACTTCTTCTAATCCAAGAAAATTAGTATCAAGATTCAAAGAAGTCAGAGTGGAATTTTTGCAAAGTGCATCTGCTAATGCTTTTATTCCTACTAATTTAAGAATATTCATTCGAAGATTGAGTGAAGTCAGTGTAGTATTTCTGCAAAGTGCATTTGCTAGTGCTTTTCCTCCTTCTGAACCAATTCTACCAGATCCAAGATCCAAAGATTTCAGTGTATTGTTTTTGCAAAGTGCATCTGCTAATGCTTCTGCTCCTTTGGGCATAATTGGATTATTATAAAGAACTAAAGAAGTCAGTGTGATATTTTTGCACAGTGCATCTGCTAATATTTTGCCTTCTTTTGAACTAAGATCATTACTAGAAAGATCCAAAGAAGTAAATGTCGTATTTTTGAAAAGTGCTTTTATTAACTCATTTATTTTTACTGATCCACATTTCCTAGAAAGATCCCAAGTTAAAGCATTTTTTTTGATCTTCAGCAATGTGCTGACTATTTTTGAGAATTTCTTCATAAAGTTCTAATGCTTTGAGAAATTTGCCTTGCTCAAGATATTCACGCGCTTCATTCCTCATATGGGGTGTCATCTATTAAAACAACCCATTTTCACATTTGAACAATTTTGAGATAATTGAGTTTAAACATTTGTTTTGATTTTCGGACTGATCCGGGATTATCAAATGTCACGATTTTGATTGGTTAAAGGTAGCAGGTGACTATCGGGTAATCTCGTAATGTGTTGGCTCTACGAAGCCTCATGTAATTTTTCCTTTACATTTTCTTGATTTTTTATTATGCGAATCGGTTTTCATTTATAATTGAAAAATGTTAACCATGTCAAAATTTATATGAATCTAATAAAAACTCATTTTTCAAAAAATTGTAAAAATGGGCTGTTTTAATAGATGACACCCCATATTCTCAAGAATATCATTGTCTTGCGTTGAAATGTTTAAATTTATTGTATCTGGTAAATAAAGCGGAGATGATATCGAATTTGTATTATCTTGGTAACTTGAGGAAGTTTCTCTAATTTGAGATGGTGCTTCAATGGAATCTTGCGTTGAAATGGTTAAATTTATTGTATCAGGTAAATAAAGTGGAGATGATGTTGAGTTTGTATTATCTTGATAACTTGAGGAAGTTTCACTATTTTGAACTGGAGTTTCAATGGAATGATGTCGACTCATAGTTTCGTGAATAGTTTCGTGAGGAATAAGTTGCTTTAAAGTATTTAGAATTATTTCTGTTTCTGGTCGATTAACAGGATCATTGTTCCAACATTTTTTGTAAAGTTCAATATATTGAGGTGGTGTACCTTCCACCGGCTCTTCTCTATTTCCTAAGAATATGTGAATAGCAAGCGAATATCCAGACTCAAAGGTTTGAAATGGTGGTCTTCCACTTGAAATTTCCCAGAGGATTACTCCGCAGCTATATACGTCAGATTTCTTATCACGTTTATATTTGTGATTGATAAGGAATTTAGGTTCCATATATGCCGGCATTCCATGAACATTTGAGCTTGAAGTCGTAGACATTTCATTTATCTGCTTTGATAGTCCAAAATCAGCGATCTTTGGTTGTCTTTGATGAATTAAAATATTTTTTGAATGCTATAAAATATGTCAGAATATTAGTTACTGTAACTAAAACATACAAATATATAAAATCAATATACCCACAAGGTCTCTATGAATAACATCGTTATTGTGTAAGAACAAAAGACCATGCACTATTTCTTCAGCAATCCGTAATTTATCTGCCCATTGCAATATTGTAAAATTTGCTTTCAGGTACTACGTAAATTCCCATCATTAGCATATTGTAAAACCATATTACAATATCCCTTATTGTCTATTTATTTGTATATAATTATTACTATAAATTTAAAATTATTATTTTATGTTTATGAATAATTAACCGTGTATATATATACCTTTCGTGATTCCATAGAATTTAATAATATTTGGATGGTAATCAACTCTTCGTAATAGTTTAAGCTTTTATTTCAAGGTATTGATAAAGCAATTTAATAATGTATTATAATAAAGTTCGTGTTTTATATAATAAATACCTCATTAACAAAATCTTTAATAATTTTTTCATTTAAACCTATGTCGGTATCGAATTTAAGGCATTTAAGAGCAACCGTTAAATAACATTCTTTCCACTCGTATTTAAAAACCTTTCCAAAACCTCCAATGCCAATTATTGTGGGATTTGTAAATTTATTATATTCAAAATTATTGATATGTCCCTCGGAAATAGCTTTTTCAAGCCATTCTTCTGGTGTGTTTGTCATAATTGTTTTATGGACTAATCACTAGTAATCTTGGTTGAAAAAAAAATGTGTGCTCGTTCGTACGAACATACGCACGCACGTACGCATGTACGTTTTATACGTATACTAAAATTTAATAATTGTTTATGTATATTACGACACAGGAACTTAATTTCTCCAAATCTAAAATCTTTACAACTACAGTATCCAATTATACTTGCCTACGATGCTTAACCATTCGTATTACAATATAGATGATTTAGTGTTACATGGTATTCATGCAAGTATTTAGGCAATACTAAAACTGTAAAAGTAGTCTTTTAGACAAACATATAAGTAAATATCTATTCTGAATATGGATAAAAGAATTAATTAAAAATAATACAGTAATAAGTGATTTGAATTGTAGAAGTATTTTTCCAGAAAATCCATAATCCATTTCACGAATTGCACTTCGTTTTCCATAATGCCATTAAATGAGGATCCGTATCATTTCATCGACAATCACTTCATCGTTAACTTAGTTTACCGACGATTAATTCGCAGACAAGTTCATTTCACTGACTACT